CGCAGTGTTGAATTTTTTTATTGATTTCGTTTTGCATATCTGCTCTTCAGCGCCTCAGTTTCTTTTTGATGTTTTTAAGTTGCTCTTATTTCTTCTATTTCCGTATTATTAGAAACTAAGGATTGTATAAACATGTCATTTTTTTTCACATTTCCTTTATTAAGTTCTCCATTTTCAGCCCAAACAAATTTTTATTTATAGCTGCGTTGTCTGCATCTAATCCAGACACTAGTTTTGGAATCTTCGTGGGCGGTAGAATATTAGAACTGCGAGGGATTTGTTGAAATTACGGGTTGCATTTCTTCCTCGGAACTAGTTAGAAAGGCAAATCTCTGTCTTATTTTGGTTTTACTGGTTATAAGACTTCGCGAACACTCTTTACATTTCCAACTCATTTTCCGCTATATAAAGCTATCAACATCCTCTTTTCTAATACCAGCATATGAGACCCATTTACCACAGACTCCAACACATACAACACACGATAATATAATTATTTCTCATTAATATTTGTTCGGTCTGAAATGTTGTTCCGGAAAAATCTGAAAAGGGTTATATTGGAACCGAAATTTGACTATTTCAAACTGTCAAATCAGTGTCATATTTTCCCATATTCTATAAATTGTTAGAACCTGCTAATCTTATAGTAAATAAAATAATTACTCTTATTTTTTACAATAAAAATAAACCTAGTATTTATGATCGTGTCCTATTCGAAAATTCATATTATTTTTCTTTAAAATCGGAATTACGGCGACTTATTTCAAAATCAATATGGACAATTATTTTGCTTTTCCGAATTTTCCATATTTATCAAAATCCCAGATATGTTGACTTCGGTTGGTTGTTCTCATTGCTCATCCAAAAAACAAAAACTTAGGTCTTTTAATTAAGATAAGTGGCCAAGAGCGCGAAGCCAGAAGTAGGTCCATCGGAGCTTATGGTTAATCCTTAAAGTTTCGGAAATATTTGGGATGAGTTTACGTTTCACTCTGAAAGAGAGCCACGACAGGATGACTTAGCATCCAGTAACAGGAAAAATATCAAAAAGGTACGAAACAATAAATGAAAAATTTCAAAATGCTTTTTAGTAAGTTTTTTACTATTTGTAAATTAAGTTCGAAAAACTTCATATTTTCAAAAGGAATTTTCATAATATATACATTAGCCTTTTTATGATTTAAATACAAAAACATTTATAAGAAAAAACATATTTTTAAATTTGAAATGCTTTTTTGAATTTCGCATACTTGAAAATTACAATAATAATGAAAAACTTTAGTAGTAGTTTAGTATTTCTGTCATATGTTAAATTTTATGCCAAAAGCAGCCTTTGCAGTTTCAAATATATTTATCGAATTTTTCGACTGAAAGCGTTTTTTTTTATTGTGGTTGATTTTCTTAAAAATCTACTTTAATTATACAGGGTGATCAAAAACAAAAATTTTTGTTTTGTTAGTTTTGGTTAGTTTTTTAAAAAAATTTATTATATAATATTTCCGAATGTCGCAGACAATAAACTATCTTTTTAATATGTTTTATTTGCTTTTAGTATTTTTTACATTATTTTCTTATTTTTTAGAAAACGTTATGTAGACGTCAAATCTTATTTTAAATCAAAATATTAATATCAATATAAAAAGTTACTAAGTTGACGTATGCTAACATAAAACTCTCAAATATTGCTTTACAAATTTACAGTCAAAATACTGACGTTTTGAGTAGTGCTCGATTGTTTTTTATTTACCCCGTATCGCTATCATAACCTTTTTTGCAGCGAAAAAACGAATATCTACAACTTTTTGAAAAAGGCACATGACTTTTGACATTTTTTTCATTCAAGTTTTTAATGTTATGTTTTTATCATTTTATAATATCTTATATATCACATATAAATATCAACACAGTCCAGTAAATTCGATATCAATTTTTTTGATATTTTTTACAGGTTCTGATGCAAGGTGCCATCCCATAACAGGCCATTCTGTATACGTAATCATTAACCAGCTTAAATTTCTGCTGTGTTGCTTTCCAATGAATTGCATACTTTAATGGGTTAATGATATGGTACAGGTTGTTAAAAGGATACGACTCTTCAATCTTTCAAGTGGCTTCAAGTTTCTCTGATTGCTTAGAGGGGGTAATCTAATTATGTGTGGGTTGTCTATTTCCGTTCTCCGTTTCCCTGGTTTACGCAAAGGAGAAGTAAGCAGATTATATTTTGCGAACCAAGAAATTACTTACGAGACTTCCTGAGGGATCCCTCTTGATGGAGAGAATTTTAAAACATACGTATATTCTTTGAATCCTAATAAGAATCCAGAAGTTGTACGAAACATATGACATTCCTGCAATTTCATTTCGCAATTTCGCTCAAACTAAAAATTGTTTGCATGTTTTCCCGTTTCACCGGTTTTCAAGACCATATAGATTGTCCTGACGAATATATAAATTTTGTTGCAGCAGACGTCGCTATCACTAAGTTTTTATAAATGAAACTGGTTATAGCGGCCATTTTCACAGCTACACTAAGGTATTTGAAGGCAAAACTATAACAATTGTCAATACATTTACTTTCATTGACTTATTTTCTAAACTATTGCACCGAAAAATAACATAAAAAAAATAGTCAGCCACCGTCGATCCCATTTTGATTGTAGCAGTCTGGTTTTATGCTTCAATTCTTTTACTTGAGTCTCAAGAAGCTAAATATGCTATATCTAGCATCGATTTTAGATGTCTATTTCTTTCCTGTTCCCATTTATTTATTTCTTTGAACTTATAAACATAGCAATCCATGTCTAAATTTTTAATATGGTAGGAACATACAATATTGCTTTCGAAAAATCGGGGGCAACGGGTAGCAGGTAGCGCGAAGCAGCTTTTTATTTCAAAAAGCAGCCGCTTTACGGTTTATTGTCAAAAAAGGGAAGCAATGTTTTTTTTATCGTGCTATGGAACTTTTTCCCAAAATCGATGTAATTATATTGTGCAGACACTCTGTATAAAGCGACTCTCACGTCTCGTTTAATTTGAAAGTTACGGTAAGATTTAGTAAATACCCACACCAAAACTTTGGTAAATACAAAACTTTTTTTTCCCAATATCTCGCGCACCCTGTATGACAGACTACACAATTTACAATACTGTTTAGACCAGATTATCAAATGTGTTATAGTTTTTTCTTTTACGGCTAATAATTTATCACGAAGACGGCAATTTTCAGGATCTTTTATATTTTTTGCTCATTACCAACACACCCTGTATATAATTGAAAAACTGCCAGTTGTAGAGGTTATGGTCCTGGATCTCCCATGTTTTCCAGGCGATGAATTTTTCCAATGGAGTAAATGGTTTTCGAGAAAATAATTCTTTTCTGGAACAAATGCACTAGGCCGTCATAGTAAATGACGTTATGGCATCTGGATTGAGTGCGAGAAATAGCGATTTTCATTTAGATTTCAAGCAACGTACGTGATCGACGAAAACCGTAAATACAAAAATTGCAGCTCTCGACGTTGCCTATAATACTGTTTGGATCAATTAGCCATATTTTTTACGAATTTTGATTTAAGGCTAATAATTTACTTTGGAAGAGGACAATTTTCATTGTCTTTTATATTTTTGGCCACAATTGAAAAACCCTTTATTTAATCGAAAAAATGCCTGAATTAACTGTTACAGCACTGAATTTTGTGGTATTTGATTGCGCTCAATTTTAACTATGTAAGTGTGGGTTGAGACATAGCTGCAAATTTGAGATACCTACTACAAGTTTTAATATTGCATCGAATATCCAGAGCACCCTGTACAATATGCTAAAACCTTAAATGTAGAAGTTTTAGCTGTCCATAAGCGCTATATGGTCATGTAAAACAAAGTGACAACTGAAACACAGCCTACTAGTTATAATCAATTACCATTATTAGGGAACACCAACTTTTAGATTTTTGCGAATGCCGGTCACACCATGTAGATTCTTGAAAATTATGAAGAATAAGAATTTTTAGAATACGATCTCTCACATCCTCTCGTTCACAATTTTTTTCGATCGCGCAAAGGGTTTTCGAGAATTGATTTTTTTGTTGAACCCCTGTAAACGCGATTTTTAATTAAAAAAAAAACTCCCCGACCCCCCAGCCCTCACAACCATTTCAATAGGTTCCGTTAGGAAGCCAAGTTCTATGCGATAGATTCAAATTTTGGACACTTATTGCGTTCCATAGCCATGTCCAAAAAACAGTCGAAAATCGAAACGAAAAGATGGCCGCCAATGTTCGACCGGGGCTGTTTGAACTTATTTTGTGCAGCCCGTCGACTGTTAAAACGGAGCCAAATTTGAACCGTCTAGCTCACAACGTTCGAAAGTTATTGTTAGTGCAAATGTGACTAAATTAAAATTTGAAATCACGCGCCAAGCGCCCAGACCGACAACTGTGTTGACCGAACTTTCCCGAACGAAAACGAACAGGATAACGGGTCGTTAAGCTCCCGCCAGTGCAATAACAACATTAAAAAACGTGAAATTCTCAAAATTTTTACTGGTACTTCGATACCGCACAACATTTGGTTCCTCCGAACCGGATTTTGAACCACCAACAAGTGTTAAAAAAAAAAGTGAAAAACCTGTGAATTGCTGCGCTCCTGCAAAAGCGATTGCCGCTACACCGAGTCGCCTTTCTCCCTGTTCCGTCTACCGACTTCACGGCGCCGCTCACGTTTCAGCGACGCACCGCCGACCCGACAATTACGACGTTTTTACGTTAGGCGATTTGGACATCATCTTCAACGGCTTGAGCCAGAAACCACTGCACCAGGTTTGAATACAACCTGCGACGTAAGTGCGTTCCATTTTCACGCTTCCTAGCAATTTATCGCCTTTATTTGACAACTGCTTTGCATTTTATTTTCAACATTTCGTTCTCTTTGCTTGTATTTGACACAATTACACGTGTTAGTGATATTTTAGATCGTTTTAACACCGCATTGCATTTGAAAAAATGGCTGATGTAAACAAAAACAAACGAAAAGCAATTAAAAGCTCTCTTACGCGATTTGTAAACCATTTTGACTCTATAAAAGGCGCTGAAACAAATTTAGATGAGTTACAAACACGTTTGAACAGAGCTGAAAAATTATTAGACGATTTTAATGACGTACAACTGCAGATTGAATCTGCCGATGAAAATTGTGACACCAATTATGACAATTTACACGCTCCTGAACGAGAAAGTTTCGAAAACACGTACTTCAAAATTATTTCGGAGGTTAGGAACTTCATTTCCATTAACAATGAAAGTGTTATGTTTCAATCCCAGTCTCCTAATAGTCAAAATTCGCCACAAATTGCAAATAATGACTTAATGAGCACTAGACTTCCAACGTTAGATTTGCCAACATTCGACGGAGCTGCAGAAAATTGGTTATTCTTTCGAGATACCTTTTTATCAGTGATCCACAAAAGCAGTGCCCTTGCGGATGTTCAAAAATTTAATTATTTGCTGCTTTCACTGAAAGGTACCGCTGCTGATACAATAAAATCTTTGCAAGTTTCGGATGCGAATTATTCCGTCGCATGGAAAATGCTTGAAGAACGTTTTGAAAATATACATTTATTAGTCACCAATTACATTAAAGCAATTTTTAACTTGCCTACCATCACAAAAGAATCTCACCAGGGCTTGAGACAACTTTTAGATGGAATGCAAAAAAACCTACGCTCTTTAAATGTTCTTAACTGCCCCACTGATCAATGGGATGATTTATTAATTTATTTGATTTCCTCCAAGTTTGACAACTCTACCCGTCGCGCTTGGGAATTTCAAAACAGTACTAATAAATTACCAACTTTAGATTGTTTAACTAGCTTTTTAAAGGAACGATGCAGGATTCTAGAATCAATAGAATCAAACGATTTAAAACAACAACAATTTTACAAACAATCATTTATCAAATCTTCAAAATCTTTGGTAGCTGTGTCAACAAGAAAATGTGCTTTATGTGAAAAAGACCACACAATTTATTATTGTTCTGAATTTACAAAACTTAGTCCAAATGAAAGGTTAAACGCAGCGAAACATTTACGCCTTTGCATAAACTGTTTAAATACAACACACTCTACAAAGGATTGTAAGTCTACAGGTTGTAGAAAGTGTGGTAAAATTCATCACACGCTTTTGCATTTCCCAAACAAGGATTCCACACAAAACACTGTTACCACAACCACAGCCAACGATAGCGACAGTGCTACTTCTACTAACAGCAGCACTTCTGTTACACTGACCGTCAACACATCAATCAATACTCAGATTTTACTTTCCACTGCAGTCGTGACAATTTTTGACAGATCTGGAACTCCACACGATTGCCGAGTTTTGCTTGACAACGGCAGTCAATCTAATTTCATTTCACAACGTTGCTGTAACATTTTAAATCTACCCAAAACTAAAGTTGAAATTTCGATTTTTGGAATCAATCAATTGGATTATCCCGTAAATTACATGGTCTCTGTTGAAGTTAATTCCAAAACAAACAACTTTCGGAGAACACTTTCATGCTTGGTGCTGCCCAGCATAACCGGAGATATTCCTGCGTTTCCAATCAACAGGGAAACATTAACAATTCCAAATAATCTCACACTTGCTGACCCTGATTTTCACCAACCTGCTCCAGTAGACATACTGATTGGTGCTGACACATTTTGGGACCTCTTGTGCATTGGTCAAATCAAACTAGGTACAAATGCTCCAATATTACAGAAAACTAAGTTGGGGTGGATAATTTCCGGTCCAATAGTTACAGCTAAAATGTTCAACACTTCTCAAACACATTTTTGTCACCTTTCAACTGATCAAACTCTACAAACTGAACTAACGAAATTCTGGGAGTTAGAAGAATATCCAAAAACAACATTTTTGTCCAATGAAGAAATTTATTGTGAAAATCACTTCAAACAAAACACCACTCGAAATGATGACGGTCGTTTCGTAGTCACGTTGCCATTGAAGGACTCCATCTCAAAACTTGGAGATTCTCGAGCAATAGCAACCAATCGATTTCTCAATTTAGAACGTAAATTAAATAAAAACCTCATTTTGAAAACTCAATATCATGAATTCATCAATGAGTATTTAAAACTCAATCACATGTCACTTGATGAGAACCAACAAGACAGTTCAGGTTTCTTTCTTCCTCATCATGGTGTGTTCAAGGAGAGTTCAACAACGACCAAGTTACGAGTTGTATTTGATGGTTCTGCCAAGTCCTCATCAGGTATATCACTCAACGATCTAATGTTAGTAGGTCCAACCATACAAGACAATTTATTTAACATCCTTCTGCGATTCAGACGACACAACATTGTTTTAAGCGCAGACATTGCTAAGATGTATAGACAAGTGCTCATAGCACCCAATCAACGCAAATTACAAAGAATTATTTGGCGTTTTAACCCCGATGACGAGTGTCTTGTTTACAATCTTAACACTGCAACCTACGGTACTACTTCTGCCCCATTTCTCGCCATAAGATCATTACACGAGGTTGCTCATCGGCATAAAAACGATTTACCAAAAATTTGCTCCATCATCCTTCATGATTTTTATGTAGATGATCTTCTAACTGGTGGCGACACCAAAGAAGAAGTCCAAGAAATAAAGGATAAACTTTCCAAACTCTTGAATGATTATGGTTTTCCACTTCGAAAATGGTCATCAAATGACACATCAATTCAGTCAAAGTTCGAATCCAACATTCTTCACATCGGAGAAGAGCAAAACAAAACACTTGGATTATTGTGGGATTCAAAACACGACAATCTTCAATATGTTATCAATTCACGACACCATGTCAAAGTAACTAAACGACAAATTCTTTCTATAATTTCACAAATTTTTGATCCCCTTGGTCTTCTGTCACCAGTAACGATTTCTGCAAAAATCATACTACAACAACTTTGGAAACTAAAAATTTCCTGGGATGAATCAGTACCCACTGATCTTTATTACACATGGTCAAAATACCATTCGCAGTTGATTCACCTGAATAAGGTAAAAATTCCAAGACATGTACTTTGCATCAATCCAATTTCTATCCAGTTACATGGCTTTTCGGACTCATCTGAAAAGGCTTATGGAGCCTGTATTTACTTGCGTTGTACAGATACATTTGGAAACGTAACTTCCAAACTTTACACTGCCAAAACCCGCGTTGCACCATTAAAACAAACTACCATTCCACGACTGGAACTTTGTGGTGCGTTGTTGCTAGCTGAACTAGCATCAAGGGTAATTTTATCAACCAACATCACTTTCCAACGGGTAACTTATTGGTGTGATTCGACCATTGTTATTTCATGGATATCCACATCTCCTTCTCTACTAAAAACCTTTGTGGCCAACAGAATATCACAAATCCAGGCTTTAACAGTTCCAGATTCTTGGAAATATGTAAATACATTTGACAATCCCGCTGACCTCTGTTCCAGAGGCATCGAACCGACAAAACTTTCAGAATCAGAAATTTGGTTTCATGGCCCAAAATGGTTAATTCAATCAGAAAATCATTGGCCCACACAAATACCTTGTAAAAAGGCAACTATTTTGCCAGAGCTGCGGCAAAAAACTTTAATTTCCACGACTTATGAAAAAATCATTCCCATTTCTCGATTTTCGTCTTTGTTAAAACTCAAACGAGTATTTGCCTATGTACATAGATTCATAAACAATACTCGTAAAGAAAAAAATACACGTACTTTTGGTTCTTTAACGCCTTCCGAATTATGTAATTCTTTAAACCATTTAATTCGACTGTTACAGATTGAAAGCTTCCCTGATGATTACCAAAGACTGTTTTCGAACTCCAAACTTGACAATAAAAGTAAACTTTTAAGTTTAAACCCGTTCTTTGATTCAATCACTCAAACTATATGAGTTGGCGGAAGACTTCACTCTTCACAATTTGACTTTTCCAAAAAACACCCTTTCGTATTACCGTCCAATCATCATTTTTCTACTCTGGTTGCACGTCATGAACATCTAGCCTTATTGCATGGTGGACCCCAAGCTCTTTTAGCTTCAATAAGAGAAACATTTTGGCCATTGTCCGGTCGTAATCTTGTTAAAAAGGTTGTTCATGAATGCATACGATGTTTTCGTTTCAATGCCAAACCCGAACAATACATCATGGGAAATTTGCCTGCTACACGAACAACTCCTTTTCGTCCTTTTTCTATTTCTGGCGTCGATTTTGCTGGACCTTTTTTACTTCGAGATAGAAAGGGAAGAAATTTCAAAACAACCAAAGCATACATTGCACTATTTGTTTGCTTTGCTATAAAGGCAATCCACCTAGAGGTTGTTTCTGACCTAACTTCAGAATGTTTTTTAGCAGCCCTTAGGAGATTCATGGCAAGACGTGGTAAATGTTCGCAAATATTATCTGACAATGGCACTACTTTTGTAGGCGCGAACAGCGAAATTCGACAATTTTTTAACGCTAACAATAAACAGATTTCTGATTCTCTATCGAATGATGGCATTCTTTGGAAATTCATTCCACCACGCGCGCCCCACTTCGGAGGCATTTGGGAAGCCGGTGTTAAATCGGTGAAATACCACTTAAAGCGAGTAATTGGCGACGCGTCGTTAAATTTTGAAGAATTTTGCACAGTTCTCTATCAAATAGAGGCATGTTTAAATTCCAGACCACTTTATCCTATGACCCAAGATCCTAACGACTTTAACCCCTTAACCCCTGCGCACTTTCTAATTGGCGAAACAATGAACACCATACCAGATTGCGACTTCACCAAATTGAAGGAGAACACTCTCTCAAGATTTCAACGCATGCAAAAACTTTCTCAACATTTTTGGTCGAGATGGTCAAAAGAATATATATCAGAACTTCAGCAGCGAGTAAAATCGCGAGAGAACAAAACACAACTACTAAAAGCTGGATCCCTAGTGATCATAAAGGAGGATGGACTTCCACCCTTGAAATGGAGACTGGGAAGAGTCATTCAACTACATCCAGGTACAGATGGAATCACGCGGACTGTTACTGTTCAAACAACTTCAGGTGTTCTGAAACGACCAGTGATAAAGTGCTGTGTTTTACCCAATCAAGACTAATTTCGTAACAGTGACATTATTTCTTTTGAAACACTGGAGTTTTTCAAGGGGGGCGACTTATGTTAGTGCAAATGTGACTAAATTCAAATTTGAAATCACGCGCCAAGCGCCCAGACCGACAACTGTGTTGACCGAACTTTCCCGAACGAAAACGAACAGGATAACGGGTCGTTTAGCTCCCGCCAGTGCAATAACAACAGCGATACTTAAAGCTACGATTGTACTCATTTATTGTTCTTCGCAATAAATCCATTAAAAAACGTGAAATTCTCAAAATTTTTACTGGTCCTTCGATACCGCACAACAGTTATAGTGGAAAAACTTCAAAAACAGAGAACGGAAAACGTACAGACAAAAAAAATTTTTTTCGACGCTGATCATTTCTAGGACCAACCGTTATCAAGATCTCGAGTTTAGTGAGGAGCGCATAAGCGAAAGTAATAAACTGTGTTTATTATTCGGGCTTGCTTCAGATGCGCAAGATAAACATAAAAGAGCTTTTTAAAACTCGCCCATAACAGCAGACTAACCCGCTGTGCGCCCAGTTTCCAATGAATCGTGAAACAAACTAATGGTAAAATTTACCAAGCAATAAATTGAAGCTGGAAACCCTAAATAAGAAACCTCGTGTACATTTCCCTGGCAATAAACCAAAATGCCTCCCCGCATTATGTTGCGTGTTTATAAAGTTGAGCAAATTGATGCGCTCCTTCCGCACCTAATTAAAATTATAAACTGCGAGAGTTTAAAGACTTTGGAAATACACGTTCTTATACAGTCATTGTGCTGCAGAGGTTTAGTTATTCGGTTTGCCAAATGATGCATTTGTGTTTGTATATCATTTGAATAAAACGGTAAACCGGGTTGCCGACTTAAATTATACAGAAACGCGTTTGCCGTATATAATTGCGCAATTAAAATTGTGTTATTGTTTAGATAAATTATTGTGGAAATGTTGGCTTAGCAAATGCTTTACTATCGTGTTGCTTTTATCATTATTTATTTTGTGCGGATAGAGATTTATTGCTAACTAATTTTCGGTTGAATTTTTGTTTAATTGTTATTAATTGTTTTCGGAATCTTACTCACTGGATTCTTGATTGACAAACTATGGCCATTTAATGCTTACTAAGCACATTGTTTATTAATTATTAACAAAATAAAACCAACCAAAGCTAACAAAAACTAATGAAACTTAACCAAAATAAAATCTATCATGCAAATCGCCCCTAATTTCCTAAGTGATTAGAGAACGGGATAAAGTAGTTTTCTCTAAAAACGTCAAATAATGCCAAGGATCGCGAATTGGTGGCATTCATTGGTCTACGTTACTATGACTCGGCGTTGGAAATAGTATGCGAGATGCGAGATACATTTTTCGCGCACTGCATATGATCTATATGAGATTTTGTATTCTAATATTTGTAGTCCTCGATCAAGCAAAAATCCAAGAAATCAAATATTTTCAAATGTTAAACAGTATCAATTATTAACTACCATTTAATTTCCATAGTTACGTTCACCAAATTTGAACATTCTAAGCTAGTTTCATACTATTTTTTATATTAAACTAAGCATATTACTCATTTTAAAGCAACGTTGACAATGGTGAAACAATTTGTGCGAAATAGTTAGGGACACACCAAGGTAGCATTTCGCACACTAGATGCATCAATTCAGTTCCCATGCGAGTTTGACAGCAACTCGTATAGGAAAACCGTAACGTAAAAACGGAAAAAAATTGTACGGTCAGCCTTTCAGGCCAAATACTTTGCCTATAAGTTTTTCTATTCAGTAATGGTTTCACGCCAGGTTTGACCCAACTCTATTGCTGTTTGCTTTGTTTGGGACTTCAAAGGATATATATGAATACAATAATGACTGCTACGGTATGAACCATCCTTCTTTACTTAGATATATTGTCAAAATAATTGCTAACAAATACCTCTAGGCAAGTAACGGTATAAAAAATTTACTCTTTATTTCAAAATATATACATAAATATAAATAAAAATAATAAAAAATAAAATATACATACAAAAGGTAATTCACGTTAAGTGTCCTATTAAAAATTGTAGAGAATAAATAGTTTTTTTTTGCAAATTTGGGAAAGGTCAACAAAGGTTACTCAGAACATGGTGTTCCATTTGAATTTACAAGGTTGCCGTTTAAGTTAAATTGTCAGCAATGAAGGCGTTTTCCAGAACTTCTAATAGAATACTCCCATAAATATCTAATTAAATTAAAAAGCGGTTCTGTTTTGATTAAAGAAATCGAAAACGATTATATAAATTGTTTTTATTTTCTGTGTTAATTGACATTAGAACCAGTTTGTAAAGTTCTGATGCTATATAAGACAAAATGTTCTCCCTGACTATATTGACACATATGGTGCTAGTTCGGTTATTAATATTGTATAAAATTCATGCCTAGCTTGTCAAATTTATCATTAACAAAAGTGCAATCAGTAAGTACATAAATATACTCTCAAAACTAACAGTATAAAATAATTTCGTTGAAAAGAGACGTGGCTTTTTCATAATATTTACTTTCGTACTGTTTTAAGCAATCATAACTAGCGTTTTTATTAATGCGTATTAATTAATAAAAGTTACTATCGGAGTTAAAGAGTATTCAAATATTAATCATTAATAAATTAATCTGTATTCGGGAAATCAAAAACGCGATTTTTATAAAGTCTAGCTAGAGATTTGTTTTTTTTTTTTTAATATTGACACGGACAAAGCAGCTTCATCAAGGTAGATTGTCGAATGAATAATTTTGCTATAAATAGTACGGAAATTTTAATAAAATGACTATAACTAATGAAAATGTCCTATTGTTGATACCATAAAATAATCCGGGACCAAGTAAATTTGTGCTAAAGCTAATGCTTTATAATTTAACCAATGAATTGCGTAATAAATGAAATTTGCGGCGATTTCGTAATTGCCATCAACATGCAATGCTAAATATGGATATAATGTATGCTAATGTAACATTCGCAATATCGCGTGTAATTTTTGTTTTATATTGGCTCAATCCATACGGCCTAAATACCTACACGGAATATAATAGGGAGGGTAGTTTGTTTACATTTCAAATGGCTTTTCCGTGTTGTTTTTAATTTTTTATTCAGAAAATTCCAAGGATAATTCAACCCGCGTACGAAAATACTGCATATTTAATTTTAAGATATTATTTTTATTTGAATTTTTCCCATATATATATATATATATATATATATATATATATATATATATATATATATATATATATATATATATATATATATATATATATATATATATATATATTCAAATAAATTAGTAATGACTAATTACTGTACTATTTGGTGCTATTCGCAAAAACGTACTGGTAGGCCCAAGGTTTTAAGCGTAGGTCCGTGTTTATTTGTTGTTTCACATTGAAAATGCCCTATAAACATCCTAAAATTAATAGGAATCTTCAAATAGCCTGTTACATAAGTTTTATAAAGTGCAATTTAGTCACGAGTTGCTATTCGTACGTGGCACACGGGGAAGGGGGGGGGGAGACCCCAGCACAGCGCAGCAAGTTTATAGTAAACGAGTTTCTCATAAACTTTTACAAAATATGTGACTGATTGACGTATCCATCAAAGCTGACAAATGTGAAAATGTCATTAGTGGCTATCGAAACCACTCTTATTGCTGCCCGTGACTAAAGTACCGGAACCGGCCGAAGAAAACTATGTTCATGTACCTTTAATGAAATGTTCATACGATGCTTCTTCGCAAAATATCGACAGTATCTGTTTTAAAAAAGTATTTGCCATTGCGAGCAAAAGCCCAGCGACTCCTCATAGCAAATATTAGCGAAGTACATTTTAAATGGTATGGACAAACGCTTTTTTGTGTCATATTCGCGGCGCCGTGTAGAGTTTTTAAATTTACCTTCATCCTTTATGCCGGCGATGATAAACTGCATTAATTTAAAGCGGCTTTTGAGATAAATTACCAGGATGCGTTTGTGAAGCTAAAAATTTACGTGTTTAAAGTGGAAAATGAAACGCCGCCACCTATCTATTTAATTATTTATTTGGCTATTAATTTCCATCGGATTTTGATGAAGTTAGAACGGTCGCACAGAAACAGAAAAACGGTTTTGTACTCTCCTGTATATTTTGATATCTTGTTGGTGCTTGTGCCAAACTCATTTGATATTATTTTTTGGTCACTGTCGCGTCTTTGCAGTCTAAGATATTAATGTTGTTTGAATTCAGTGCTACCAATATGTGTCTGTTTTTTCAGTTTCAATCAGTGCCGATTTACTTCGCTTTTAGCACTTGACTTAGTTAGCACACGTTGATATAGCTATTGATAAACGAATTGCATTGCACGTTTGCATCCTCATTCAACTACTCAAAAATTGTATTTTCAGTTTGTAAAATAATTTCTTACTTTTTCGGTGTTTTTTTTCCAAATATAAATATTTTTTGCCTAAATATTATATAAAAATAAAAAATAAATATTATACGTGTAGATAAAATACCATATTCTTTCATTTAGTTTTCGCCAGCACGGTATTTCTTTGTTATTTCTACATGCAATTATGGAAGGCTATGTTTACATTATTTCTTTTAACGGACGCGAGACGAAATCAAAAGGAAGCCGCTTTGCGGAGGTGCCTGAAATTAGGGTCTAGTTTTTGATGCGTACCGACGAAAGGTAAAAGAAGGTCACGACGTTTGAGCACGGGCATTAGGTGTCTACGGTTGGACGAAAAAGACGTAAAAGACGTGGGTAACGCAGGAAGTCGTGCCGTTTACTCTTTTTCTTATTGTCCATATACCAAGTGTCGACGAAGTTGTACGAGGTGCGAGCAGGTAAATAAGAGAAAATATAGTTTTGTTTATTTTGCCAATACGTCGGACTGAATTTATTTCCTCATCCCCTAATGATCAACAAACCTACATAAGCCACCAAAATTTAATAGGAATGCTAGACTTTATGGAAAAGTGTAGTGACATAATCGCTTCTCTCTTCGTATCGTTTGTAAGGAATATAGAGGAAGTTTATGCACTGGGTGGTCTGCTATCAAAAGTATGAAAAGGAACTTTAAGACAAAAGTTGTTTGGTTCCCTGTATTAAGAGTAAACTATCAGGAACTCTCGTAAGTAATTTTCTTTGCGTAAACCAGAGAAACGAATAACGGAAATAGACAATGGGAGAAACTTGAATACACTTCAGGCGTTGAAGAGCCGTTCTTTTTCAAAACCTGTATAAAATCTTCGACCGAGTGACGTATGCAATTTATTAGAAAGCTCTACGATTTTATTTGATAATTGTAATAGGGCTTAATCTCAGAACTTGTCGAAATGTCAAAGAGACAAAGCCACACAAGTTGTTTGGATTTGGATTGTTATAATAACCAGTATGTTTGTATTTTCGTGACCAAGGAACAACTTTTTTTTATATTATTATGCATCTTTGAGTTATTCTGAACTTTTCGGACGTACTTGTTAGACACTGTACGTCAATTTGAGTCAATTTAAAATTAAATTTTCTAGCGAACTGCTGACTCCATTTGCATACATATTTTTTATTGTAGCTTAAATCTTGAGAAACAATGTTACAAACATCTTTCAATTTAAATTTTTTTAGTTTTAGACATTTGCAGATTGTTTAAAGAAAAACCAGTTTTATATTCAATATTTGTCACATTTTGTGGGAATTCCCGTCAGCAGTATTAGGTGTTGGTCTTTTGTCAGCAGTTTGTTTTTTTATTCACGTCTTTATCTCACTTATTAGGCGAAATATGGAATTTAATGTCAAACACAATGTCAATTACAATTTATTACAAAAAAAAAATTAAACAAATAAAATGTCAATATCGCGTATTTTCTCTCCTACTCCTATCGACGACTCAAACTTTGAACCAGCCGTTTTATTTGTGCTTGATCGACATTCTTCTGATTATTTGATTCCATAAGCAAGGCAAATTCTCGATATTCACCTCATGTAAATAATTTTGTAATATTCTTGCAGTAACAGGTAATATGTAATCTGTAATAGTTTTGACGGAAATTTCCACAGATGATTGATTGATTGATTATAAAACTGGGATTTCTTAAAAACTCTGTATATACCTAAAACTTCATGGTGTATGCCAACAGAATTGGAAAACTAGTAGCAAATTCCACTTCCGCCCATTAAACTGTGACTGCTCTAAAGGAGGGATGAGAACGCAAGAAAATTCTGCCCTGTGGCGAACCGGACTGCCGAAGGCTTGGCGCATCCGCATTTGTGAGAAACATGATAAATGGAGAAATGGTGGGACATACAGATTGTCATGCTGATAAAGGGAATGCAGGTGACAATGACATGTCGCGTAATGGAGATCGCGCATGATCGTGTCATTTAATCCCTTGCAATAGACCAACAAAAACGCGCAAAAAAGGCGAAAATAAAAGAACTGTTTTATAGACATGGATCTTCACAAAATTGTGTATGTCTGCACTAACGAAAACTCGAACTATTTGGTGACGGGGTGTATAGAGCTTTAAATGTTGTTCCAAAGCTTGTAGGTCGTGGTTATGTCTATGTTCAATGTCCATGTAACATCTGGTGTTCTACAGGGTGGCCACTGCTCCGCATTCATGTACATTATTTTTTGTCAGTGATATAATAGGCTGCTTTAAAATTAGCAATTTGCCTATGACTGTGGAGAACTTTTGTGACTTAAATGACCTGTAGTACTTAAACATTTTGCGCAAAGCTAGTAACCAAGGTTAGGTACAAAATGTTGACATATCTATAATATGTCAAAACAGGAGAGTAAAAACAATAGCAAAGCCAACAAACTATTCTAAAGATTTATTAAAAATAGCAATATTAAACAATACTACAATATAAACTTGATCATATAAAAATTAGAAAATAAATATGACTTCAGTCACATCTCTGCTACCATTAAGAGGAGGGCATTTGATATTCTATTTGGAATAATTATAATCACACATTCTCGATAGAGACCACACAACAAAAAAGAAGATATTTCAAAAACCTACTATTAATAGAATAACTAAATTCAAACTTAAAAGTTGATACGGTAACACTTAGATCTAACTTATTTGGTTGAGACCAGAGTTGATACGGTAACACTTAGATCTAACTTATTTGGTTGAGACCAGTGGATCAACCTAATCAAGTCCTCTTGTAACAACTTAAACTCCCTACAGTTAATTTATAGGCAAATTGCAAACGTTTAATGTTGTGACATTGACATTGACCCAAAATATTGGACAAGAGAGAACCGGATATGCTTAGGCAACATTTTAAACGGGCTACAATCCTTAAAATAACATTTATCATAGTACTATAATAATAATACAAATATTTTGCATCCACCATTTTGTGAAGAACCAAATCCTCTTATTTTGTTAACAAGGTTTTTAAGGATATGACTTAAATGGTTAAATTTTATACTTATTTTGATGTTTTGTTATTATTAAACTACAATAACTGTAGTAAATCGTAACGCGGAGTATAAATATGTAAATACAATATATTGTATTTTTTTCGCTCGTATCTAATTAGTGTGACAATTTTTCTTATAAATAATTAAATATCAACTCCCAGAATACGAGTTTTAAATTTTGCAGTGACGGTGGACAAGGCGAAATCTCTAATCATCCGTGCAACAAAGAGAATCCATTAAATTCCGGCGTAATCTGTAATGTTCGCGGACATCGTGCTCTTCCTTTCCATTTATTGATTCGAATTAATTTCCCACCCCGAAACCAACTAACCGGAACCTATCGGCCCCAAAAATAATAAAATCCATTCATCAAAAACCCATATAGTGAACATACATCGTCGATTATGATCAATTGGCGTACTCCCGACAAATAAATTTGCAACACCCAACACCAAGATTCCTGCGCACATAGTAACGATTTTTGGTATCGCGGAAGCGCTCCTGGCGGCAACTGGATGAACTTATTAGTGTCCCTTCGGCATCCGTTCTTGGTCCGGGTTAGTTGTATCTGTAAGGCGCGCTGAAGTACGTAAAGATAACGCGCCTTCCCAGTTTTGATCCGCGCGATCGCGAAGTGTTTTTTCCGCCGGATTCGTGTATCGCTAAAATACGTTAATTTTCGTGTACGGAATTTTACGTCACAATTTCGAATGTAAATAGAAATGTGACGATTCTGTGACGGACATGTGAAATTTCAAATAAAATAAATACGAAAATGTTTACATGGAACTGATGGTCCTAAACAGTGCACGCGAGTGGAAAATTGATATTCAAGCTGCCGTCCTTGTCGTCGTGGGACTGGAAGGGAGAACTAACGAAACACTGAGGTAGGTTCTTGAGGAATATCAAGTTACGTTCACTGTTTACTTAAATTAAAGCTGCTATGCAAGTTAATCTCTGTGTACACGTTAGACTTCCGGAAGATCGCCTACGAGTGTTTGACTTTCTCGTTAGTTTTGGAAGGTGTACAAATATATTTTTACTGATCTAGGGAAAATATGGAGGTACACTTATTAAAATGAACGGAAAATTTTGTGATTAACTCAACTTCGAGCAGTTAATTTTGGTTTGTTTATTTAATATTTAAGTATCTCGATTATGACAATTTTCTTTATTTTCTGTCCAACATCCAAAAGTATACGAAGTAAGATGTGGTTGCAACGCTGAAGTTGAACAGCAATTTGCTTTTCGAAAATGTCAAGAACCTGTTTCCAGTGAGGTTTTATAAAGTGTACCCAGAATTAAAGTGGTATGGTCTGTTCATAGATATAAGAAAGTGACCAATTGCTTTTGAATGGGATTATCCAAAGGTGGTCAATAGAAAATAATTTTATACCTACCTGCGTTTAATATTCTTTGGTTTGGTATACTACTTAGTTTAAGTTTATTAGTAATCATGGTTGTTTCGTGTGTAATACAGCCTGTGTTGAATTGTGTGCGAATTATGCAAAATATGTGCGAGTCTAGTGTATCTCGTGAGATGCTCCCGCCAAATGTAGAAAACACTATTCTATCGAGACTAAAGAAGTTATAAACAATGTTTATTTGACTCTCATTGAACGTGGTGCCAGCAAGCAAGCATCTTTAGAAGAAACGCGAGGGAAAAAAGAAGCGATGCTGACATTTTCTCGAGTGAAAGTGAAGTAATACCCCGCAAAAGGGTTGGGTTGACTCAACGGATAAGTGTAAAGCAATCGCGCCATCAAAAAGAGGTAAAAGAATAACTATTTTGCATGCTGGCTGTAAAGATGGTTGGATTCCAAATGGACTTTCTCTGTCTGCGAAAAATATTAAAGATTCTTTTCTGGATTATCATGAAGACACCACCGTTGATTTATTTGAAAGTTGGTTTAAAAACAAACTAGTTCCAAACATTCCTCCTAATAGTGTCATTGTAATGGACAATGTAAGTTATCACAGTAGACAGTTGACCAAAACCCCTTCCTCATGTGACACAATCCAATACTACATGTATAATAATGACATTTATTTTCACGAAGATTATACCAAAAAGCAATTAATTGAGGTTCTACAAAGCTTGAACCTACAAAAGGAATACACGGCTGTGATAATTATGCAAAAAATCTAGGTTTAAGGCTTCCACCTTACCACTGTATATTTAATCCCATTGAACATGTTTGGCACCAACTGAAATCTGCCATTCGTCGTAACAATGTTTTTCCCCGTGTTAACTCCAATGTCCTCAAACTTATAGAAACCGAAGTTTTTAACATCCGTCCACAAAGTTGGGTAAATTCTGTTAAACATATAGAAAAAGCAGAACAATCGTATATTCATATTGCAAATAATATAGAACAAATAATAATTACAACAGGCGATGATATCGATTTGTAATTTTATTTTAGATTTAACCGTAAATACATACATAAATAAATAAATATTGTTTGGTGTCTTTCCTAACAAAACCCCAAATAATTAAATTCTAAGCAAAGTACGGACCTGTTCGGCCATATTTCATGTTTTCAGCTTGCCCGGGTCTTTCCTTAATTCGTATCACTTAGTAACTTTCTCATATCTATGAACAGACTTTATAACTCATTTACTTATAGCACCATTTTTCAAACTAATTAAGAGTTTTATTGAGTAGAATAGCGTTTGACATCTATATAGAATTCATATTCGGCATGTATCACTGATTTTCTAAATTATTTTCCAATATAGAAGATGTTTCGGATAAGCGTGGTAATACCAATATATATATATTTCTTAATGGAACATTCTATATAATTTTTTTTGCATACTATGATTTCTTCAAGTTTATTTGACATCGTAATTGTTTTTGAATTTTAATGCGACGTTGCCAATTTATTAACTTTTTTAGTCCTTCCTCTGAAATTCCCAACTAAGCAGTGATCAAGGGTGCACAAAGTGGCAGTTCAAGACTTAAGATTCGATACCCATATTCGCTAACTACTTTGGACATTTCCGTTATTTTAGCCACGGTTTTGGAACGACGATAAGTTTGTCAAATCTCACTTAAAAACTAGTAATCGTAGAGTTTAGTTTAGCGCCTAAGTAATTAGGTCGTAGAGGGCGTTTTCCAAAATATTGCCAACATGACGAAACTAAAAGTCATTTTGTTGAGATTTGCCTATACCTATTAATTAATGTTTTTCCGTAATAATCATTTTAAATTTAAATATACGATTCAATGCACTTTTTACTCAATTATATATTTCTTTTATTACTAAGTAGCATATTTAAGACGTTTTTGTTTTTATTTGCCATCAATCAATCAATGCGTCAAAATGTGAATTATGATTTCGAAAAACGCGTTGAACTGTGCATTCAAGAAAGTATTAGTACTATTATTGAACAACTAATTATTTAGTCCTATTTTTTAGGTAATCATTGTAAGTTTTCAAGATGTACTTTTACTTGATGTCGAATAATTTGCAAGTGTCGCTCTTCAAGGATTTTTTTTGTAAAATGATATCAAGAATTAGTCGAATTTCCAAAATAATTTATTAGTAAAAAAATGTATTTTTAAAAAGCAGGTTATTAAATCGATTAGCTTTAAAATATAAAGATAACGTGTTGATGTAAATGAATAATAATAAAAAACATAATGGAATAATTTGATACATATAGAAAAACTAAATTTCAATATAAGTTGTAAAGAGACTGTGCTCCTTTGAGAAAACCAGGGAAAAGTTAGTATAAATTTCGTCAAGCTAGGATGACCCCTTTGTATAAAACGATTGTTTGGGCGCCTCTCGTGATAATGCACTTGACTATGTTAAAGTCAACTTTTATTATTAGGAAGGTAGTGTTTTGAAATAAGCATCAGATAATTTGCAAAAATATTTTATAAAAAAAACATAAACTTGGCAACGTCTCTTTAAATTGAAAATCAATAACAATTTCATTCAAATGTTCTGGGAAGAGCCCTAATTTACAAAATTTTCTATGGTGTTCCATTTAAAAAAATATGTTTCTAAGGTGTGTTTCTTTTGATTTTATTGATTAATTATTAAAACATTTACATTCCTATTCCCATAGTTATATACTTTTGTTAACAATCGCGCCTTAACGCTAACTAAGCTAAAATTACTGAAATTTCAAAGCAAATTGCTAGGAATGTGCTAATAGTGACGACGAGGTCTTGTCATGTTTAAAATGGTACAATGATATTATTTCATCTAGCGTAAAATTGAGTATCGTTATATCGAATAGATTTATACTAGTGCCTTCTAATTGTGTTACGTTATAGTTCAGTGGTAAATCCTGTATTGTAATTACTGAATAGACGGCAAGGCCTTAGGGTAATCTGCTTACTAATTGGCCCAACGTCCAATACTAAAGCGCACCTGGAAGCCCGTGCTTTTTCCACCGAATCCGTTCTAGCAATCAAAGTGAACCAAGATACCTACGCTTTACTATACACTTTTTTATCATACTAGTGCGAAGAAAATTCATTCACCACATTTCACAAAAACTTTATTTGCTATATAAGGTCGAAAAATTATACATTATCCTTTTCTTTTGATGTATCTTGTATCAGTATGTGCTGATAATATCCTATATTAAAGAAATCTGACACAACATATACTAAATTCAAATGACGTTCTAACTACACGTTGGAATATTAAACCTACAATATAATGTTTGGACAGTTATTTTGTGCGGAGAAACGAAATGCAGCCCTAGACACGAATAAACGAATCAAAATCAAATACCTCAACGTTTCCTTTGGGTATGCCCGATTCTTGTATTTTCTTTGTTATATCATTTTATTGTTTAGATTTTATTCTTTACATTAATAAACAAAATTGCTTTCGAAAAAATCGCGGCTGTGCGAATCGTCTGCTTTGTCCTATCTGATACGTAGTTTACAAAGTCACTACGCAGCTTTGTATTTCAAAGGCTTTTTGTCCTAAAAGGGCGCACTGTCCAATCCCAACCCACCCCCAATTTCAAAAGGGTTTGTCAGGAGACCAAAAGCTATTTGTTCGTCAAATTTGAAGTCGATAGCTTCGAATTTCGTGTTTTAAAGCAATGTCCAAAAAAAGCTGTAAAATAGGCCTACAATTTAATGCAATTTTGGTACACCAAAAGTTATTATGAAAAACTGCAGTAAATATATTTTAATTTGGGAACTATTTTTGTTGCTTTTCATTTTGTTACAAAATTTCCGCCTATATATTTTAGATTGTGAAGATGTGTTTTGATATTTTGGCGTCACATTTTCGATAAGTTGTAGATATTTTACACCGGATCTCCTAGTATAGAAAAAGAGCTTCAAAAACTGAATATAAACATTGTTATTAGAATGCTATTAAGCAGTTTTTAGCCGCAGTTTCTTTGAGTATCGAAAGGTCACTTTTTAAGTTTTATTAAAAAATCGGGAGAGAACTGAAAGACCAACGACGTTACAATCTCCTAACAATGTTTGTGTAAATTCATATGCCCAAATTTAAATTTTTTGCACATGTCGACAACAGAAACAACTACGAAAACCGCAAATTATGTATTTTTTGTTTTTCCTTCTCTAACATGTCACCAAGGGATACAATTACTCAAACAAGCGAGCAGCTTATTGACGGCAATGATTGGTCTCTAGATGGTAATCTTGTCAGATACAGGAATATCGCTATCGGCCCCGATGGCACGACCATCAGTTACATGTAGAGAATACGAACATCAACTTCAACACACCATTTTTCATGGAAATTCACTGCAACATTGTTTGTTGTTAAAATGTTTTTATAAACCCATCCAGCTCGTGAGAACAGAAGTAGTTCTGGCTCGTATGGTACATTCAGATTTACCCGGAAAATTAGGCCAGCTTGCCGCAGACCATTGT